TGAAATCAAACAAAAGATTTAGCTCCAGCTAAACTGGATTTGGTTCAATAAAACTCAATTGTGCGTCGGAGCTGCCTCCTCATGTCTCTGAGCAGCAGCAAGGTCACGCGTGTAGTCAAAACAAAAACAAAAGTCACCGCTTGAATGTGAATTGGGTGAATTGGGTAGTTTAACTTAATAATATAATACTTTTACAGCCTAATTCTCTCTTTCTTTTTTAGACGAAGTCTACAATCATTAATCACTTTTAACAGATTCTAATTTAAATGTTTGAAAAACGGCTTTTGTAACTAAAATAAAAAATACATGAAAAAATTCTCACAAACAGCTATGAAATATATCAGAGATACAATAATGGACTCACAAAATAAGCAGCAGATTTAAAAAGAAAAGCAAAGCTTTTTGTACTAATCTTTGGGTTTCAAAAACATACTAATTCAAAACTTCTATTCCCTAATGGTGTTTAAAAACGTTTAACTGTGTCTAACACAATGTTCAAATGGCAAATTTAGCAAATTTAACGGAATAACTACTATGAAAAGCCAAAATCCTAAAGCAGTAGCTCCCCTTTAAATCAGAGCAGCAGCTCAGCAGCAGCGAGGGCGGGGGGGTTCCTTTCACACAGACGCGCACACACAGGCAGAAAGATACAGAAGAATAACTTTCAAGATTACTTTGTTAAGCGAATATAACTTATGTTGTTCTTTATACTTTTGTCATCCAAGTCTAGAAGTGATCACTTTCCACACTAGTAACAAAAGGCACTCTTGTCTTTGACGTTTACGCTTCTATTTTATTGAGGTAGCAAACTAATTTAAACTTAAAATGTCTTTCTAAAAAACAAAAACAACTGTTGGATACAGCCCTCTCATAGCTTAACTGTAGATAAAACTCGGCAAAAAATGTAAATAACTCACGAAAGCTCTCATAGCTCAACTTTAGATAAAACTCTGCATTCTCCGGTGAACTCTGTACACGCCAAAAACAAACACTCCCTTTTTCTGTATGTAATTTAAACCGTGATCACTGAAATATTGTTGCTTCTTTACTTTTGTCATTTATCAGCCTGAAATTCGTCAATTTCAAAGCTTTTGTAACAAAGGCCTCCTTAACACATTTCCCTTTTTATAATAACTTTTATGTTTACACCATGGTTTCACTTATGGATCCTCACTTTAATGGCCAACACTTTTCACTTTATGGATCCTCACTTATTTGAACACAATTTAGAGAGTTCGACAGACCTCAAAAACACACCCAAATTTAGCTAGTATCCAATTATGCAGACTTTACATTTAAAAAGGTGTCTGCTTACCTTATTCTTGTCAAAGAGGTGCGCACGGGCTGTCCGAGAGGTCTGCCAACTCTTTTCCGCGTCGGAATCTTCAATTTAAAAAACAAAAGTGACAGAAGCGACAAGAAGCATCCAGGAACAGCTCTTCCAGCCTGCTGGAATCTCCGCTCCCAGACACAGCCGGTCTCTCACGCCGAGGAAAAGAAACAGAGCAAAACTCCCCCAAAACAATCCAGAGAATGGCACAAACCGAGCCGCGCATTCTCCACCAAATCTGTTAGGATTTAAGCAGACAGAGACGGATCGTGGTGTGCCAAACTCTGGAAGTTTATTTAAGTTTCTCTCAAGTTCCACTAGTTTACTCTGTTTCTTTCCCTCAGACAGAATAAAGGCAGTACACAGTTTATTTAGTCATTGTCACGTCACACATCGAAAGACATACGTGTCACAAAGAGACAGTCAAATCATAGTCATAACATGGAGTCCTTGTAGAGTCCTTGTACAGTCCTGCACGTAGGCCATATTGCTATCTAATACTAACAGAGAAACAAAAAAATGTAAATAAAATGATTCAAGGAGATTAAAAGGCGAAGCAAGAGCAGAGCAGAGAGAGACACACGACTGCTCTCTTCAAAAGCAGGAAGCAGAGAATAGCTACTGTCGGCCCACTTAAACTTGGTTAAAGCCCGGCACACACGGAATCTGTACGTCCTCTGCTATGACCTGGTTCGACTTGGATCTGTGCGGTCTGGGCCAGAGAGAGGGACAAGCCCCGGTAGTAATCTGAGCCAAACAGGAAGTCGGAAGTTAAAATTTAAGAGATTATCTTTCTAGCACACACTTCTCAAAGATAGTGAAACAGGACAGAACAGAACGGGAAAGTGGTTGTGGCCCGGATCGTCGCCACAGGGGTGTGAAAACGGCCCGCGGTCACATGAATGTGTTGTCTGAACCGTGTCAGGGAAATAGTGCTGTAGTTCAACACTCGGTCCAGCTGATGGCGCTAATACTAACACCAGAGACTACCTCGTTGCCCTGGTTGAGATCCGCTTCTTTTCCTGTTTTACATTCTGCTACTGTAGCTAACAGCTAACAGCTACAGCTACAGTAGCTAACAGCTCAGTATGGATCGCGTTGTTTAGGGAAAGATACATCTCACACTTGTCTAAATTGCTCTGATGCAAAGTGCAGCAGTTCAGTGGGTAACGTGAATGCACACGTGTGTGTTTGTGTGTGTGTGTGTGCGTGCCGCGGACACACACACACATACTCTTTAGTAACGAGCGTAAGAGCGCTGAGAAATGAATTAATGAGAATGAAGGAATGAAAAGTGTGGCATATGAGCATAGCGACCGCAGACAGGGAGGTTACAAGTGTGTGTGTGTGTGTGTTCTGGTGATTAAATAAAGACTGATTCTTGAATGTCTGAAGTGTTATTGCAATAGCACCACACTGAGAGCGACGGTCAGGACAGAAGAGAGCTATACCCGTAGGAAACGCTTTTCTTTGGCCCTGCAGAGAGACACTCCCCCAGCGCCCCTCGACCACGGTCAGTGGCTTATATGAAAGGTTTGACACAAGCGGAGAATACAAAAGTGCAGGAGAGACGTGTGTGAAAATGCGTGTCACAGGAAGACGTAATGTGACGCACAATATCAAGTCCTCACCACACCTCATCCCCCACTCCCCACCACCCGCCACACTGACCCCCTCATCCCCTACTCCCCACCACCCGCCACACTGACCCCCCTCATCTGCGCTGGGAAGCGGGCCATGGCCGCTGTTTTTAACTGCGCCAGTGCACGATTCCAGGCATCATGCTCTGGCGCGAATGCCGCGATCAGATTGCACCTAAAGCCCGGATATAATCGCGAAGCGGGCCCTGGCACACTTAAACCGGGCTTTAGGCTGCGCATGTGACTGCAGCCTCAGCGTCTGCCACACACGGCTAAGGACAGTTTTCAAATGGGCCCGTGTTCCATCCTGTTAGGCTGCGGTCACATGCACAGCCTTAAGCCCAGTTAAAGTGGGCTTGAGCCCACTTCGCGATTTGATCAAGGCTTTAGGTGATATGTGACCGCGGCAAGTGGGCTTGGGCACAGTTGAGAGAGGTGGGCCACAGCACGCTTTGTAAAGCCCAAATGAGGGGATCAGTGTGGCGGGTATTGATATTGTGCGTCACATTACGTCTTCCTGTGACACGCATTTTCACACACGTCTCTCCTGCACTTTTGTATTCTCCGCTTGTGTTAAACCTTTCATATAAGCCCCGGACCGTGGTTGAGGGGCGCAGGGGACCGTGGTTGAGGGGCGCAGGGGACCGTGGTTGAGGGGCGCAGGGGACCGTGGTCGAGGGGTGCAGGGGACCGTGGTCGAGGGGTGCAGGGGACCGTGGTCGAGGGGTGCAGGGGATTGTGGTGGAGAGGCGCAGGGGACCGTGGTCAAGGGGCGCAGAGGGGTGTGCCGCTGCAGGGCCAAAGAGAAGCGTTTCGTATGGGAATAAGTCCCTTCTGTTCTCCTGACCCTCGCGCTCAGTGTGGTGCTACTGCAATAATTTACACATTATGCAGGGGTGGCAAAATGGTTCCAGAAAGGGCCAATATGGCACACCAGAATTCAACCATTTCCTCAAATCTTCAGGTTAAAATTGGACTTACATGAGGCCCTTTGAGGACCACGTGACAACCCTGGATAGGAAGCAGCTGCTAAATACAAGCTAGATTAATACTGAAAAACACCATGGGTTCCTTGGTTGTGAGTTCTGGATTCCTGTTTAGCTTCTAGTATTCCCTGGGCCGTCCCTCCTTGTCGTCTGCAAAAGAACATTTCAAATGGAGGACTTGAATCGTGTAGTTGTTGTTTCTTCTCTCTAATGTACTTTCTTCACACACACTGACGGACACGCCCTGCGCACTCACACATAGACATTCAGTCACACAGGAGGAGCTCTAAGTCAAGCAGAGCTTCTCCATGTCCCATTGGGACAAATGACCAGACAAAGATTAATCAAAATGTAAGGTCTACTAGACACACCTTAAAACTTTCCTATTTTTTCTGTTTGTAGGCTATTGGACAGCAATGTCAACACGGCTGTGGGACTAGAACAACCTTTAACATAACAGTTTTCTATGACCTTGCTGGCTCATGCATTTGTACAATAGACACTCTCCCGACCATTTACACGTTAAGTATAAAAGTAACAGTTCGCATGAGAATTGCACAGCCACCACGACTGTAACCATGGGCAAGGCAAGTTTCAACAATTTTTTGTCAGAACAACACTAAAGCACTACTCTTAATATATTGACATGTTATTACAAGAATTGGTTAAACTGCTTTTGTCTACCAGATAATTTTCTACGAGGACAGGAACTTCCAAGGTCATCATTATGAGACCAGCAGTGACTGCCCTGAGCTGACTTCCTACTTGAGCAGGTGTCACTCCTGCAGGGTGGAGAGCGGCTGCTTCATGGTCTATGACCGTCCCAACTACATGGGAAACCAGTTTTTCATGAGGAGAGGGGAGTATGCTGACTACATGAGCATGATGGGAATGTCTGATTGCATCCGATCCTGTCGTATGATCCCAATGGTAAACTTTAAGGATCCCATTCTTTAAATAATTATGTTTTCAAATAGTTTTTTTTTCAATATTCCTCTGTTTTACTCATTTATATTAACATTACAGTATAGGGGAAACTACAGGATGAGAATCTATGAGAGAGAGAACTTTGGCGGCCAGATGTATGAGATGTTGGATGATTGTGAGAGCATCCAGGACCGTTATCGTATGAACGACTGTCAGTCCTGCCACGTCATGGACGGCCACTGGCTGATGTACGAGCAGCCTCACTACAGAGGAAGGATGATGTACTTCAGACCCGGAGAGTACAGGAGCTTCAGGCAGATGGGGATGAGCGGAACAAGGTTCATGAGCATGAGACGCATCATGGACTCCTGGTACTAAAATGAATGAAAGAAGATATTCATGTATTTTCACTTTAATTGGCTGGTTGTTTGGAAGTTCCCATAACAAAAGCGTAAAAATTTATAGAAGCAAGAAGAATGTCAAGAATGTTAGTATGGGACCAAACTGTCTTCTTACAAATAAAAATAATTTGATACATTCTTTGTGTTACATTTGTAATGTTTACACAGCGAAACAAATGTAGTTGTTAAAAACAATGAGGAGCAGATTTCTAGTACAGACACACACACACAATGCAGAGTCTAAAACAGCAGGAGTAACAGGATAAATTATTAATTGAATGTTTACATAAGTTAAATCTACCACAGTGCAGTGCCAATAAAGCAAATCGGTTAATTACACACAGGAAATGAACTGCAAGAAAAAGCAAAAATGAATAGGCACTTTTCCACATGTCTGTCACTTGTTTTTAGTGGAATTCAATTCTGGGGAGAACAAAGGTCTATTTAAAGGGACTAAAAACCTGTTGCCATTTGTGTCATTTTATTTTGGCTTTCACCCGCCTTTCCACCTAGTCTTATATGCAAGGCGTATCTCTCTGACGCCGCATCAGTCTCTGACGCCGCTGAGGCCGCATCAGTCTCTGACGCCGCATCAGTCTCTGACGCCGCATCAGTCTCTGACGTCGCATCAGTCTCTCTGACGTCGCATCAGTCTCTGACGTCGCATCAGTCTCTGACGTCGCATCAGTCTCTCTGACGCCGCATCAGTCTCTGACGTCGCATCAGTCTCTGACGCCGCATCAGTCTCTGACGCCGCATCAGTCTCTGACGTCGCATCAGTCTCTGACGCCGCATCAGTCTCTGACGCCGCATCAGTCTCTGACGCCACATCAGTCTCTGACGCCGCATCAGTCTCTGACGTCGCATCAGTCTCTCTGACGTCGCATCAGTCTCTGACGTCGCATCAGTCTCTGACGTCGCATCAGTCTCTCTGACAACGCATCAGTCTCTGACGTCGCATCAGTCTCTGACGCCGCATCAGTCTCTGACGTCGCATCAGTCTCTCTGACGTCGCATCAGTCTCTGACGTCGCATCAGTCTCTGACGTCGCATCAGTCTCTCTGACGCCGCATCAGTCTCTGACGTCGCATCAGTCTCTGACGCCGCATCAGTCTCTGACGCCGCATCAGTCTCTGACGCCGCATCAGTCTCTGACGTCGCATCAGTCTCTGACGCCGCATCAGTCTCTGACGCCGCATCAGTCTCTGACGCCGCATCAGTCTCTCTGACGCTGCATCAGTCTCTGACGTCGCATCAGTCTCTGACGCCGCATCAGTCTCTGACGCCGCATCAGTCACTGACGCCGCATCAGTCTCTGACGTCGCATCAGTCTCTGACGCCGCATCAGTCTCTGACGCCGCATCAGTCTCTCTGACGCCGCATCAGTCTCTGACGCCGCATCAGTCTCTCTGACGCCGCATCAGTCTCTGACGCCGCATCAGTCTCTGACGCCGCATCAGTCACTGACGCCGCATCAGTCACTGACGCCGCATCAGTCACTGACGCCGCATCAGTCTCTGACGCCGCATCAGTCACTGACGCCGCATCAGTCTCTGACGCCGCATCAGTCTCTGACGCCGCATCAGTCTCTGACGCCGCATCAGTCTCTGACGCCGCATCAGTCTCTGACGCCGCATCAGTCTCTTTGACGCCGCATCAGTCTCTGACGCCGCATCAGTCTCTGACGCCGCATCAGTCTCTGACGCCGCTGAGGCCGCATCAGTCTCTGACGCCGCATCAGTCTCTCTGACGCCGCTGAGGCCGCATCAGTCTCTGACGCCGCATCAGTCTCTTACGCCGCATCAGTCTCTGACGTCACATCAGTCTCTGACGCCGCATCAGTCTCTGACGTCGCATCAGTCTCTGACGCCGCATCAGTCTCTGACGCCGCATCAGTCTCTGACGCCGCATCAGTCTCTGACGCCGCTGAGGCCGCATCAGTCTCTGACGCCGCATCAGTCTCTGACGCCGCATCAGTCTCTGACGCCGCATCAGTCTCTCTGACGCCGCATCAGTCTCTGACGCCGCATCAGTCTCTGACGCCGCATCAGTCTCTCTGACGCCGCATCAGTCTCTGACGCCGCATCAGTCTCTGACGCCGCATCAGTCTCTCTGACGCTGCATCAGTCTCTGACGTCGCATCAGTCTCTGACGCCGCATCAGTCTCTGACGCCGCATCAGTCTCTGACGCCGCATCAGTCACTGACGCCGCATCAGTCTCTGACGTCGCATCAGTCTCTGACGCCGCATCAGTCTCTGACGCCGCATCAGTCTCTCTGACGCCGCATCAGTCTCTCTGATGCCGCATCAGTCTCTCTGATGCCGCATCAGTCTCTCTGATGCCGCATCAGTCTCTGACGCCGCATCAGTCTCTGACGCCGCATCAGTCTCTGACGCCGCATCAGTCTCTGACGCCGCATCAGTCACTGACGCCGCATCAGTCACTGACGCCGCATCAGTCTCTGACGCCGCATCAGTCTCTGACGCCGCATCAGTCTCTGACGCCGCATCAGTCTCTGACGCCGCATCAGTCTCTGACGCCGCATCAGTCTCTGACGCCGCATCAGTCTCTGACGCCGCATCAGTCTCTGACGCCGCATCAGTCTCTGACGCCGCATCAGTCTCTGACGCCGCCTCAGTCTCTGACGCCGCATCAGTCTCTTTGACGCCGCATCAGTCTCTGACGCCGCATCAGTCTCTCTGACGCCGCATCAGTCTCTGACGTCGCATCAGTCTCTGACGCCGCATCAGTCTCTGACGCCGCATCAGTCTCTCTGATGCCGCATCAGTCTCTGACGTCGCATCAGTCTCTGACGTCGCATCAGTCTCTCTGACGCCGCATCAGTCTCTGACGTCGCATCATTCTCTGACGCCGCATCAGTCTCTGACGCCGCATCAGTCTCTCTGACGCCGCATCAGTCTCTGACGTCGCATCAGTCTCTCTGACGCCGCATCAGTCTCTGACGCCGCATCAGTCTCTGACGCCGCATCAGTCTCTGACGCCGCATCAGTCACTGACGCCGCATCAGTCACTGACGCCGCATCAGTCACTGACGCCGCATCAGTCTCTCTGACGCCGCATCAGTCACTGACGCCGCATCAGTCTCTGACGCCGCATCAATCTCTGACGCCGCATCAGTCTCTGACGCCGCATCAGTCTCTCTGACGCCGCATCAGTCTCTGACGCCGCATCAGTCTCTGACGCCGCATCAGTCTCTCTGACGTCGCATCAGCCTCTGACGTCGCATCAGTCTCTGACGTCGCATCAGTCTCTGACGCCGCATCAGTCTCTGACGCCGCATCAGTCTCTGACGCCGCATCAGTCTCTCTGACGCCGCATCAGTCTCTGACGCCGCATCAGTCTCTGACGCCGCATCAGTCTCTGACGCCGCATCAGTCTCTCTGACGCCGCATCAGTCTCTCTGACGCCGCATCAGTCTCTGACGCCGCATCAGTCTCTGACGCCGCATCAGTCTCTGACGCCGCATCAGTCTCTGACGCCGCATCAGTCTCTGACGCCGCATCAGTCTCTGACGCCGCATCAGTCTCTGACGCCGCATCAGTCTCTGACGCCGCATCAGTCTCTGACGCCGCATCAGTCTCTTTGACGCCGCATCAGTCTCTGACGCCGCATCAGTCTCTGACGTCGCATCAGTCTCTGACGTCGCATCAGTCTCTGACGCCGCATCAGTCTCTCTGACGCCGCATCAGTCTCTGACGCCGCATCAGTCTCTGACGCCGCATCAGTCACTGACGCCGCATCAGTCACTGACGCCGCATCAGTCTCTGACGCCGCATCAGTCTCTGACGCCGCATCAGTCTCTGACGCCGCATCAGTCTCTGACGCCGCATCAGTCTCTGACGCCGCATCAGTCTCTGACGCCGCATCAGTCTCTTTGACGCCGCATCAGTCTCTGACGCCGCATCAGTCTCTGACGCCGCTGAGGCCGCATCAGTCTCTGACGCCGCATCAGTCTCTCTGACGCCGCTGAGGCCGCATCAGTCTCTGACGCCGCATCAGTCTCTGACGCCGCATCAGTCTCCTACGCCGCATCAGTCTCTGACGTCACATCAGTCTCTGACGCCGCATCAGTCTCTGACGTCGCATCAGTCTCTGACGCCGCATCAGTCTCTGACGCCGCATCAGTCTCTGACGCCGCTGAGGCCGCATCAGTCTCTGACGCCGCATCAGTCTCTGACGCCGCATCAGTCTCTGACGCCGCATCAGTCTCTCTGACGCCGCATCAGTCTCTGACGCCGCATCAGTCTCTGACGCCGCATCAGTCTCTCTGACGCCGCATCAGTCTCTGACGCCGCATCAGTCTCTGACGCCGCATCAGTCTCTCTGACGCTGCATCAGTCTCTGACGTCGCATCAGTCTCTGACGCCGCATCAGTCTCTGACGCCGCATCAGTCTCTGACGCCGCATCAGTCACTGACGCCGCATCAGTCTCTGACGTCGCATCAGTCTCTGACGCCGCATCAGTCTCTGACGCCGCATCAGTCTCTCTGACGCCGCATCAGTCTCTGACGCCGCATCAGTCTCTCTGATGCCGCATCAGTCTCTCTGATGCCGCATCAGTCTCTCTGATGCCGCATCAGTCTCTGACGCCGCATCAGTCTCTGACGCCACATCAGTCACTGACGCCGCATCAGTCACTGACGCCGCATCAGTCACTGACGCCGCATCAGTCTCTGACGCCGCATCAGTCTCTGACGCCGCATCAGTCTCTGACGCCGCATCAGTCTCTGACGCCGCATCAGTCTCTGACGCCGCATCAGTCTCTGACGCCGCATCAGTCTCTGACGCCGCCTCAGTCTCTGACGCCGCATCAGTCTCTTTGACGCCGCATCAGTCTCTGACGCCGCATCAGTCTCTCTGACGCCGCATCAGTCTCTGACGTCGCATCAGTCTCTGACGCCGCATCAGTCTCTGACGCCGCATCAGTCTCTGACGCCGCATCAGTCTCTCTGATGCCGCATCAGTCTCTGACGTCGCATCAGTCTGTCTCTCGTCGCATCACTGACGTCGCATCAGTCAGTCTCTCTGACGCCGCATCAGTCTCTGACGTCGCATCATTCTCTGACGCCGCATCAGTCTCTGACGCCGCATCAGTCTCTGACGCCGCATCAGTCTCTCTGACGCCGCATCAGTCTCTGACGTCGCATCAGTCTCTCTGACGCCGCATCAGTCTCTGACGCCGCATCAATCTCTGACGCCGCATCAGTCTCTGACGCCGCATCAGTCACTGACGCCGCATCAGTCTCTCTGACGCCGCATCAGTCACTGACGCCGCATCAGTCTCTGACGTCGCATCAGTCTCTGACGCCGCATCAGTCTCTGACGCCGCATCAGTCTCTGAGGCCGCATCAGTCTCTGACGCCGCTGAGGCCGCATCAGTCTCTGACGCCGCATCAGTCTCTGACGCCGCATCAGTCTCTGACGCCGCATCAGTCTCTGACGCCGCATCAGTCTCTCTGACGCCGCATCAGTCTCTGAAACCGCATCAGTCTCTGACGCCGCATCAGTCTCTCTGACGCCGCATCAGTCTCTGACGCCGCATCAGTCTCTGACGCCGCATCAGTCTCTCTGACGCTGCATCAGTCTCTGACGTCGCATCAGTCTCTGACGCCGCATCAGTCTCTGACGCCGCATCAGTCTCTGACGCCGCATCAGTCACTGACGCCGCATCAGTCTCTGACGTCGCATCAGTCTCTGACGCCGCATCAGTCTCTGACGCCGCATCAGTCTCTCTGACGCCGCATCAGTCTCTCTGATGCCGCATCAGTCTCTCTGATGCCGCATCAGTCTCTCTGATGCCGCATCAGTCTCTGACGCCGCATCAGTCTCTGACGCCGCATCAGTCACTGACGCCGCATCAGTCACTGACGCCGCATCAGTCACTGACGCCGCATCAGTCTCTGACGCCGCATCAGTCTCTGACGCCGCATCAGTCTCTGACGCCGCATCAGTCTCTGACGCCGCATCAGTCTCTGACGCCGCATCAGTCTCTGACGCCGCATCAGTCTCTGACGCCGCATCAGTCTCTGACGCCGCATCAGTCTCTGACGCCGCCTCAGTCTCTGACGCCGCATCAGTCTCTTTGACGCCGCATCAGTCTCTGACGCCGCATCAGTCTCTCTGACGCCGCATCAGTCTCTGACGTCGCATCAGTCTCTGACGCCGCATCAGTCTCTGACGCCGCATCAGTCTCTCTGATGCCGCATCAGTCTCTGACGTCGCATCAGTCTCTGACGTCGCATCAGTCTCTCTGACGTCGCATCATTCTCTGACGCCGCATCAGTCTCTGACGCCGCATCAGTCTCTGACGCCGCATCAGTCTCTGACGCCGCATCAGTCTCTGACGCCGCATCAGTCTCTCTGACGCCGCATCAGTCTCTGACGTCGCATCAGTCTCTGACGTCGCATCAGTCTCTCTGACGCCGCATCAGTCTCTGACGCCGCATCAATCTCTGACGCCGCATCAGTCTCTGACGCCGCATCAGTCACTGACGCCGCATCAGTCTCTCTGACGCCGCATCAGTCACTGACGCCGCATCAGTCTCTGACGCCGCATCAATCTCTGACGCCGCATCAGTCTCTGACGCCGCATCAGTCTCTCTGACGCCGCATCAGTCTCTGACGCCGCATCAGTCTCTGACGCCGCATCAGTCTCTCTGACGTCGCATCAGCCTCTGACGTCGCATCAGTCTCTGACGTCGCATCAGTCTCTGACGCCGCATCAGTCTCTGACGCCGCATCAGTCTCTCTGACGCCGCATCAGTCTCTGACGCCGCATCAGTCTCTGACGGCGCATCAGTCTCTGACGCCGCATCAGTCTCTGACGCCGCATCAGTCTCTGACGCCGCATCAGTCTCTCTGACGCCGCATCAGTCTCTCTGACGCCGCATCAGTCTCTGACGCCGCATCAGTCTCTGACGCCGCATCAGTCTCTGACGCCGCATCAGTCTCTGACGCCGCATCAGTCTCTGACGCCGCATCAGTCTCTGACGCCGCATCAGTCTCTGACGCCGCATCAGTCTCTGACGCCGCCTCAGTCTCTGACGCCGCATCAGTCTCTTTGACGCCGCATCAGTCTCTGACGCCGCATCAGTCTCTCTGACGCCGCATCAGTCTCTGACGTCGCATCAGTCTCTGACGTCGCATCAGTCTCTGACGCCGCATCAGTCTCTCTGACGCCGCATCAGTCTCTGACGCCGCATCAGTCTCTGACGCCGCATCAGTCACTGACGCCGCATCAGTCACTGACGCCGCATCAGTCTCTGACGCCGCATCAGTCTCTGACGCCGCATCAGTCTCTGACGCCGCATCAGTCTCTGACGCCGCATCAGTCTCTGACGCCGCATCAGTCTCTGACGCCGCATCAGTCTCTTTGACGCCGCATCAGTCTCTGACGCCGCATCAGTCTCTGACGCCGCTGAGGCCGCATCAGTCTCGCCGCATCAGTCTCTTACGCCGAGTCTCGCCGCATCACGCCGTCTCTCTGACGCCGCATCTGACGCCGCATCAGTCTCTGACGCCGCTGAGGCCGCATCAGTCTCTGACGCCGCATCGCTGACGCCGCATCAGTCTCTGACGCCGCATCAGTCTCTCTGACGCCGCATCAGCTCTGACGCCGCATCAGCATCAGTCTCTGACGCCGCATCGCTCGCATCAGTCTCTGACGCCGCATCAGTCTCTCTGACGCCGCATCAGTTTCTGACGCCGCATCAGTCTCTGACGCCGCATCATCATGACGCCGCATCAGTCTCTGACGCCGCATCAGTCTCTGACGTCTCTCGCATCAGTCTCTGACGCCGCATCAGTCTCTGACGCCGCATCAGTCTCTCTGAGCCGCATCGCATCTGACGCGTCTCTCTGATGCCGCATCAGTCTCTCTGATGCCGCATCAGTCTCTCTGATGCCGCATCAGTCTCAGTCTCTCTGACGCCGCATCAGTCTCTCTGACGCCGCATCAGTCTCTGACGTCGCATCATTCTCTGACGCCGCATCAGTCTCTGACGCCGCATCAGTCTCTGACGCCGCATCAGTCTCTCTGACGCCGCATCAGTCTCTGACGTCGCATCAGTCTCTACTGACGTCGCATCAGTCTCTCTGAACGCCGCATCAGTCTCTGACGCCGCATCAGTCTCTCTGACGCCGCATCAGTCTCTGACGCCGCATCAGTCTCTGACGCCGCATCAGTCTCTCTGACGCCGCATCAGTCTCTGACGCCGCATTCAGTCTCTGACGCCGCATCAGTCTCTGACGCCGCATCAGTCTCTGACGCCGCATCAGTCTCTGACGCCGCATCAGTCTCTGACGCCGCATCAGTCTCTCTGACGCCGCATCAGTCTCTCTGACGCCGCATCAGTCTACATCTCTCAGTCTCTGACGCCGCTCTCAACTCTCATCAGTCTCTGACGCCGCATCAGTCTCTCTGACGCATCAGTCTCTGACGCCGCATCAGTCTCTGACGCCGCATCAGTCTCTCTGACGCCGCATCAGTCTCTGACGCCGCATCAGTCTCTGACGCCGCATCAGTCCTCTGACGCCGCATCAGTCTCTGACGCCGCATCAGTCTCTGACGCCGCATCAGTCACTGACGCCGCATCAGTCTACTGACGCCGCATCAGTCTCTGACGCCGCATCAGTCTCTGACTGCATCGCTTACGCCGCATCAGTCTCTCTGACGCCGCATCAGTCTCTGACGCCGCATCAGTCTCTGACGTCCTCTGACGCCGCATCAGTCTCTGACGCCGCATCAGTCCACTGACGCCGCATCATGTCTCTGACGCCGCATCAGCTCTCTGACGCCCGCATCAGTCTCTGACGCCGCATCAGTCCGTCTGACGGCCGCGCATCAGTCTCTGACGCCGCATCAGTCTCTGACGCCGCATCAGTCTCTGACTGCGGCCGCATCAGTCTCTGACGCCGCATCAGTCTCTCTGACGCCGCATCAGTGCGCGCATCTGACTGCCGCATCAGTCTCTGACGCCGCATCAGTCTCTGACGCCGCATCAGTCTCTGACGCCGCATCAGTCTCTGACGCTCGCATCAGTCTCTGACGCCGCATCAGTCTCTGACGCCGCATCAGTCTCTGACGCCGCATCAGTCTCTGACGCCGCATCAGTCTCTGACGCCGCATCAGTCTCTGACGCCGCATCAGTCTCTGACGCCGCATCAGTCTCTGACGCCGCATCAGTCTCTCTGACGCCGCATCAGTCTCTGACGCCGCATCAGTCTCTCTGACGCCGCATCAGTCTCTGACGCCGCATCAGTCTCTGACGCCGCATCAGTCTCTGACGCCGCATCAGTCTCTCTGACGCCGCATCAGTCTCTCTGACGCCGCATCAGTCTCTGACGCCGCATCAGTCTCTGACGCCGCATCAGTCCTCTGACGCCGCATCAGTCTCTGACGCCGCATCAGTCTCTGACGCCGCATCAGTCTCTGACGCCGCATCAGTCTCTGACGCCGCATCAGTCTCTGACGCCGCATCAGTCTCTGACGCCGCATCAGTCTCTGACGCCGCATCAGTCTCTCTGACGCCGCATCAGTCTCTGACGCCGCATCAGTCTCTGACGCCGCATCAGTCTCTGACGCCGCATCAGTCTCTGACGCCGCATCAGTCTCTCTGACGCCGCATCAGTCTCTGACGCCGCATCAGTCTCTGACGCCGCATCAGTCTCTGACGCCGCATCAGTCTCTCTGACGCCGCATCAGTCTCTGACGCCGCATCAGTCTCTGACGTCGCATCAGTCTCTGACGCCGCATCAGTCTCTGACGCCGCATCAGTCTCTGACGCCGCATCAGTCTCTGACGCCGCATCAGTCTCTGACGCCGCATCAGTCTCTGACGCCGCATCAGTCTCTGACGCCGCATCAGTCTCTGACGCCGCATCAGTCTCCTGACGCCGCATCAGTCTCTGACGCCGCATCAGTCTCTGACGCCGCATCAGTCTCTGACGCCGCATCAGTCTCTGACGCCGCATCAGTCTCTGACGCCGCATCAGTCTCTGACGCCGCATCAGTCTCTGACGCCGCATCAGTCTCTGACGCCGCATCAGTCTCTGACGCCGCATCAGTCTCTGACGCCGCATCAGTCTCTGACGCCGCATCAGTCTCTGACGCCGCATCAGTCTCTGACGCCGCATCAGTCTCTGACGCCGCATCAGTCTCTGACGCCGCATCAGTCTCTGACGCCGCATCAGTCTCTGACGCCGCATCAGTCTCTGACGCCGCATCAGTCTCTGACGCCGCATCAGTCTCTGACGCCGCATCAGTCTCTGACGCCGCATCAGTCTCTGACGCCGCATCAGTCTCTGACGCCGCATCAGTCTCTGACGCCGCATCAGTCTCTCTGACGCCGCATCAGTCTCTGACGCCGCATCAGTCTCTGACGCCGCATCAGTCTCTGACGCCGCATCAGTCTCTGACGCCGCATCAGTCTCTGACGCCGCATCAGTCTCTGACGCCGCATCAGTCTCTGACGCCGCATCAGTCTCTGACGCCGCATCAGTCTCTGACGCCGCATCAGTCTCTGACGCCGCATCAGTCTCTGACGCCGCATCAGTCTCTGACGCCGCATCAGTCTCTCTGACGCCGCATCAGTCTCTGACGCCGCATCAGTCTCTGACGCCGCTCAGTCCTCGCGCATCAGTCTCTGACGCCGCATCAGTCTCTCTGACGCCGCATCAGTCTCTGACGCCGCATCAGTCTCTGACGCCGCATCAGTCTCTGACGCCGCATCAGTCTCTGACGCCGCATCAGTCTCTGACGCCGCATCAGTCTCTGACGCCGCATCAGTCTCTCTGACGCCGCATCAGTCTCTGACGCCGCATCAGTCTCTGACGCCGCATCAGTCTCTCTGACGCCGCATCAGTCTCTGACGCCGCATCAGTCTCTGACGCCGCATCAGTCTCTGACGCCGCATCAGTCTCTGACGCCGCATCAGTCTCTGACGCCGCATCAGTCTCTGACGCCGCATCAGTCCTCTGACGCCGCATCAGTCTCTGACGCCGCATCAGTCTCTGACGTCGCATCAGTCTCTGACGCCGCATCAGTCTCTGACGCCGCATCAGTCTCTGACGCCGCATCAGTCTCTGACGCCGCATCAGTCTCTGACGCCGCATCAGTCTCTGACGCCGCATCAGTCTCTGACGCCGCATCAGTCTCTGACGCCGCATCAGTCTCTGACGCCGCATCAGTCTCCTGACGCCGCATCAGTCTCTGACGCCGCATCAGTCTCTGACGCCGCATCAGTCTCTGACGCCGCATCAGTCTCTGACGCCGCATCAGTCTCTGACGCCGCATCAGTCTCTGACGCCGCATCAGTCTCTGACGCCGCATCAGTCTCTGACGCCGCATCAGTCTCTGACGCCGCATCAGTCTCTGACGCCGCATCAGTCTCTGACGCCGCATCAGTCTCTGACGCCGCATCAGTCTCTCTGACGCCGCATCAGTCTCTGACGCCGCATCAGTCCTCTGACGCCGCATCAGTCTCTGACGCCGCATCAGTCTCTGACGCCGCATCAGTCTCTGACGCCGCATCAGTCTCTGACGCCGCATCAGTCTCTGACGCCGCATCAGTCTCTGACGCCGCATCAGTCTCTGACGCCGCATCAGTCTCTGACGCCGCATCAGTCTCTGACGCCGCATCAGTCCTCTGACGCCGCATCAGTCTCTGACGCGCATCAGTCTCTGACGCCGCATCAGTCTCTGACGCCGCATCAGTCACTGACGCCGCATCAGTCTCTGACGCCGCATCAGTCTCTGACGCCGCATCAGTCTCTGACGCCGCATCAGTCTCTGACGCCGCATCAGTCTCTGACGCCGCATCAGTCTCTGACGCCGCATCAGTCTCTGACGCCGCATCAGTCTCTGACGCCGCATCAGTCTCTGACGCCGCATCAGTCTCTGACGCCGCATCAGTCTCTGACGCCGCATCAGTCTCTGACGCCGCATCAGTCTCTGACGCGCATCAGTCTCTGACGCGCATCAGTCTCTGACGCGCATCAGTCTCTGACGCCGCATCAGTCTCTCTGACGCCGCATCAGTCTCTGACGCCGCATCAGTCTCTGACGCCGCATCAGTCTCTGACGCCGCATCAGTCTCTGACGCGCATCAGTCTCTGACGCCGCATCAGTCTCTGACGCCGCATCAGTCTCTGACGCCGCATCAGTCTCTGACGCCGCATCAGTCTCTGACGCCGCATCAGTCTCTGACGCCGCATCAGTCTCTGACGCCGCATCAGTCTCTGACGCCGCATCAGTCTCTGACGCCGCATCAGTCTCTGACGCCGCATCAGTCTCTGACGCCGCATCAGTCTCTGACGCCGCATCAGTCTCTGACGCCGCATCAGTCTCTGACGCACGCATCATGTCTCTGACGCCGCATCAGTCTCTGACGCCGCATCTGTCTCTGACGCCGCATCAGTATCTGACGCTGAGCATCAGTCTCTTTGGACGCTACGCATCAGTCTCTGACGCCGCATCAGTCTCTCTGAACGCCGCATCAGTCTCTGTCGTCGCATCCAGTCTCTGTCGGGCCGCATCAGTCTCTGACGTCGCTTCAGTCTCTTTGTTGCCGCATCTGTCTCTGACGCCGCATCAGTCTCTGACGTCGCATCAGTCTATCTGACGCCGCCATCAGTTTACTCTGACGACGCATCATTCTCTGACGCCGCATCAGTCTCTGTCGCCGCATTCAGTCTCTGACGCCGCATCTAGTCTCTGAAGCCGCATACAGTCTCTCTGAACTGCCGCATCAGTCTCTGACGACGCATTCAGTGTCTCTGAAGCCCGCATCAGTCTCTGTCGGCCGCATTCAGGTCTCTGACGCCGCATCAGTCTCTGATCGCCGCATCAGTCTCTGACGCCGCATTCAGTCTCTGACGCCGCATCAGTCTCTGACGCCGCATCAGTCTCTGACGCCGCATCAGTCTCTGACGGCCGCATCAGTCTCTGACGACGCATCAGTCTCTGACGCCGCATCAGTCTCTGACGCCGCAATCAGTCTCTGACGCCGCATCAGTCTCTGACGCCGCATCAGTCTCTCTGACGCCGCATCAGTCTCTGACGCCGCATCAGTCTCTGACGCCGCATCAGTCTCTGACGCAGCATCAGTCTCTGACGCCGCATCAGTCTCTGACGCCGCATCAGTCTCTGACGCCGCATCAGTCTCTGACGCCGCATCAGTCTCTGACGCCGCATCAGTCTCTCTGACGCTCGCATCAGTCTCTGACGCCGCATCACGTCTCTGACGCCGCATCATGTCTCTGACGCCGCATCAGTCCTCTGACGCCGCATCAGTCTCTGACGCCCGCATCAGTCTCTGACGCGCATCAGTCTCTGACGCCGCATCTTCGTCTCTGACGCCGCATCAGTCTCTGACGCCGCATTCAGTCTCTTGACGCCGCATCAGTCTCTGACGCCGCATCAGTCTCTGACGCCGCATCAGTCTCTGACGCCGCATCAGTCTCTGACGCCGCATCAGTCTCTGACGCCGCATCAGTCTCTGACGCCGCATCAGTCTCTGACGCCGCATCAGTCTCTGACGCCGCATCAGTCTCTGACGCCGCATCAGTCTCTGACGCCGCATCAGTCTCTGACGCCGCATCAGTCTCATGACGCCGCATCAGTCTCTGACGCCGCATCAGTCTCTGACGCCGCATCAGTCTCTGACGCCGCATCAGTCTCTGACGCCGCATCAGTCTCTGACGCCGCATCAGTCTCTGACGCCGCATCAGTCTCTGACGCCGCATCAGTCTCTGACCGCCGCATCAGTCTCTTGACGCCGCATCAGTCTCTGAGCCGCATCCAGTCTCTGACGCCGCATCAGTCTCTGACGCCGCATCAGTCTCTGACGCCGCATCAGTCTCTGACGCCGCATCAGTCTCTGACGCCGCATCAGTCTCTGACGTCGCATCAGTCTCTGACGCCGCATCAGTCTCTGACGCCGCATCAGTCTCTGACGCCGCATCAGTCTCTGACGCCGCATCAGTCTCTGACGCCGCGATCAGTCTCTTGACGCCGCCATCATGACGCCGCATCAGTCTCTGACGCCGCATCAGTCTCTCTGATGCGCAGCATCAGTCTCTGAACGCATCAGTCTCTGACGCCGCATCAGTCTCTGACGCCGCATCAGTCTCTGACGCCGCATCAGTTATCTCTGACGCCGCATCAGTCTTGACGCCGCATCAGTCTCTGACGCCGCATCAGTCTCTGACGTCTCTGTCGCCGCATCAGTCTCTGACGCCGCATCAGTCTCTGACGCCGCATCAGTCTCTCTGACGCCGCATCAGTCTTGACGCCGCATCAGTCTCTGACGCCGCATCAGTCTCTCTGACGCCGCATCAGTCTCTGACGCCGCATCAGTCTCTGACGCCGCATCAGTCTCTGACGCCGCATCAGTCTCTGACGCCGCATCAGTCTCTGACGCCGCATCAGTCTCTGACGCCGCATCAGTCTCTGACGCCGCATCAGTCTCTGACGCCGCATCAGTCTCTGACGCCGCATCAGTCTCTGACGCCGCATCAGTCTCTGACGCCGCATCAGTCTCTCTGACGCCGCATCAGTCTCTGACGCCGCATCAGTCTCTGACGCCGCATCAGTCTCTGACGCCGCATCAGTCTCTGACGCCGCATCAGTCTCTGACGCCGCATCAGTCTCTGACGCCGCATCAGTCTCTGACGCCGCATCAGTCTCTGACGCCGCATCAGTCTCTCTGACGCCGCATCAGTCTCTGACGCCGCATCAGTCTCTGACGCCGCATCAGTCTCTGACGCCGCATCAGTCTCTGATGCGCATCAGTCTCTGACGCCGCATCAGTCTCTGACGCCGCAATCAGTCTCTGACGCCGCATCAGTCTCTGACGCCGCATCAGTCTCTGACGTCGCATCAGTCTCTGACGCCGCATCAGTCTCTGACGCCGCATCAGTCTCTGACGCCGCATCAGTCTCTGACGCCGCATCAGTCTCTGACGCCGCTCTGACGCCGCATCAGTCTCTCTGACGCCGCATCAGTCTCTGACGCCGCATCAATCGCCCGCATCAGTCTCTGACGCCGCATCAGTCTCTGACGCCGCATCAGTCTCTGACGCCGCATCAGTCACTGACGCCGCATCAGTCTCTGACGTCGCATCAGTCTCTGACGCCGCATCAGTCTCTGACGCCGCATCTGATCGTCTCGCCGCATCAGTCTCTGACGCCGCATCAGTCTCGACATCGCATCTCTGACGCCGCATCGCTCTGACGCCGTCTCTCTGACGCCGCATCAGTCTCTGACGCGCATCAGTCTCTGACGCCGCATCAGTCTCTGACGCCGCATCAGTCTCTGACGCCGCATCAGTCTCTGACGCCGCATCAGTCTCTGACGCCGCATCAGTCTCTGACGCCGCATCAGTCTCTGACGCCGCATCAGTCTCTGACGCCGCATCAGCTCTCTGACGCCGCATCAGTCTCTGACGCCGCATCAGTCTCTGACGCCGCATCAGTCTCTGACGCCGCATCAGTCTCTGACGCCGCATCAGTCTCTGACGCCGCATCAGTCTCTGACGCCGCATCAGTCTCTGAGCCGCATCAGTCTCTGACGCCGCATCAGTCTCTGACGCCGCATCAGTCTCTGACGCCGCATCAGTCTCTGACGCGCATCAGTCTCTGACGCCGCATCAGTCTCTGACGCCGCATCAGTCTCTGACCGCATCAGTCTCTGACGCCGCATCAGTCTCTCTGACGCCGCATCAGTCTCTGACGCCGCATCAGTCTCTGACGCCGCATCAGTCTCTGACGCCGCATCAGTCTCTGACGCCGCATCAGTCTCTGACGCCGCATCAGTCTCTGACGCCGCATCAGTCTCTGACGCGCATCAGTCTCTGACGCCGCATCAGTCTCTGACGCCGCATCAGTCTCTGACGCCGCATCAGTCTCTGACGCCGCATCAGTCTCTGACGCCGCATCAGTCTCTGACGCCGCATCAGTCTCTGACGCCGCATCAGTCTCTCTGACGCCGCATCAGTCTCTGACGCCGCATCAGTCTCTGACGCCGCATCAGTCTCTGACGCCGCATCAGTCTCTGACGCCGCATCAGTCTCTGACGCCGCATCAGTCTCTGACGCCGCATCAGTCTCTGACGCCGCATCAGTCTCTGACGCCGCATCAGTCTCTGACGCCGCATCAGTCTCTGACGCCGCATCAGTCTCTGACGCCGCATCAGTCTCTGACGCCGCATCAGTCTCTGACGCCGCATCAGTCTCTGACGCCGCATCAGTCTCTGACGCCGCATCAGTCTCTGACGCCGCATCAGTCTCTGACGCCGCTCAGTCTCTGAGCGTCAGTCTCTGACGCCGCATCAGTCTCTTGACGCCGCATCAGTCTCTGACGCCGCATCAGTCTCTCTGACGCCGCATCAGTCTCTGACGTCGCATCAGTCTCTGACGCCGCATCAGTCTCTGACGCCGCATCAGTCTCTGACGCCGCATCAGTCTCTGACGTCGCATCAGTCTCTGACGCCGCATCAGTCTCTGACGCCGCATCAGTCTCTGACGCCGCATCAGTCTCTGACGCCGCATCAGTCTCTGACGCCGCATCAGTCTCTGACGCCGCATCAGTCTCTGACGCCGCATCAGTCTCTCTGACGCCGCATCAGTCTCTGACGTCGCATCAGTCTCTGACGCCGCATCAGTCTCTGACGCCGCATCAGTCTCTGACGCCGCATCAGTCTCTGACGCCGCATCAGTCTCTGACGCCGCATCAGTCTCTGACGCCGCATCAGTCTCTGACGCCGCATCAGTCTCTGACGCGCTCAGTCCTGACGCCGCATCAGTCTCTGACGCCGCATCAGTCTCTGACGCCGCATCAGTCTCTGACGCCGCATCAGTCTCTGACGCCGCATCAGTCTCTGACGCCGCATCAGTCTCTGACGCCGCATCAGTCTCTGACGCCGCATCAGTCTCTGACGCGCATCAGTCTCTGACGCCGCATCAGTCTCTGACGCCGCATCAGTCTCTGACGCCGCATCAGTTCTCTGACGCCGCATCAGTCTCTGACGCCGCATCAGTCTCTGACGCCGCATCAGTCTCTGACGCCGCATCAGTCTCTGACGCCGCATCAGTCTCTCTGACGCCGCATCAGGTCTCTGACGCCGCATCAGTCTCTCTGACGCCGCATCAGTCTCTGACGCCGCATCAGTCTCTGACGCCGCATCAGTCTCTGACGCCGCATCAGTCTCTGACGCCGCATCAGTCTCTGACGCCGCATCAGTCTCTGACGCCGCATCAGTCTCTGACGCCGCATCAGTCTCTGACGCCGCTCAGTCTCTGACGCCGCATCAGTCTCTGACGCCGCATCAGTCTCTGACGCCGCATCAGTCTCTCTGACGCCGCATCAGTCTCTGACGCCGCATCAGTCTCTGACGTCGCATCAGTCTCTGACGCCGCATCAGTCTCTCTGACGCCGCATCAGTCTCTGACGCCGCATCAGTCTCTGACGCCGCATCAGTCTCTGACGCCGCATCAGTCTGACGCCGCATCAGTCTCTGACGCCGCATCAGTCTCTGACGCCGCATCAGTCTCTGACGCCGCATCAGTCTCTGACGCCGCATCAGTCTCTGACGCCGCATCAGTCTCTGACGCCGCATCAGTCTCTGACGCCGCATCAGTTCTCTTGACGCCGCATCAGTCTCTGACGCCGCATCAGTCTCTGACGCCGCTGAGGCCGCATCAGTCTCTGACGCCGCATCAGTCTCTCTGACGCCGCTGAGGCCGCATCAGTCTCTGACGCCGCATCAGTCTCTTACGCCGCATCAGTCTCTGACGTCACATCAGTCTCTGACGCCGCATCAGTCTCTGACGTCGCATCAGTCTCTGACGCCGCATCAGTCTCTGACGCCGCATCAGTCTCTGACGCCGCTGAGGCCGCATCAATCTCTGACGCCGCATCAGTCTCTGACGCCGCATCAGTCACTGACGCCGCATCAGTCTCTCTGACGCCGCATCAGTCACTGACGCCGCATCAGTCTCTGACGCCGCATCAATCTCTGACGCCGCATCAGTCTCTGACGCCGCATCAGTCTCTCTGACGCCGCATCAGTCTCTGACGCCGCATCAGTCTCTGACGCCGCATCAGTCTCTCTGACGTCGCATCAGCCTCTGACGTCGCATCAGTCTCTGACGTCGCATCAGTCTCTGACGCCGCATCAGTCTCTGACGCCGCATCAGTCTCTCTGACGCCGCATCAGTCTCTGACGCCGCATCAGTCTCTGACGCCGCATCAGTCTCTGACGCCGCATCAGTCTCTGACGCCGCATCAGTCTCTGACGCCGCATCAGTCTCTCTGACGCCGCATCAGTCTCTCTGACGCCGCATCAGTCTCTGACGCCGCATCAGTCTCTGACGCCGCATCAGTCTCTGACGCCGCATCAGTCTCTGACGCCGCATCAGTCTCTGACGCCGCATCAGTCTCTGACGCCGCATCAGTCTCTGACGTCGCATCAGTCTCTGACGCCGCATCAGTCTCTGACGTCGCATCAGTCTCTGACGCCGCATCAGTCTCTCTGACGCCGCATCAGTCTCTCTGACGCCGCATCAGTCTCTGACGCCGCATCAGTCTCTGACGCCGCATCAGTCTCTCTGACGCCGCATCAGTCTCTGACGCCGCATCAGTCTCTGACGCCGCATCAGTCTCTGACGCCGCATCAGTCTCTCTGACGTCGCATCAGTCTCTGACGTCGCATCAGTCTCTGACGTCGCATCAGTCTCTGACGTCGCATCAGTCTCTGACGTCGCATCAGTCTCTGACGCCGCATCAGTCTCTGACGCCGCATCAGTCTCTGACGCCGCATCAGTCTCTGACGCCGCATCAGTCTCTGACGCCGCATCAGTCTCTGACGCCGCATCAGTCTCTGACGCCGCATCAGTCTCTGACGCCGCATCAGTCTCTGACGCCGCATCAGTCTCTGGCGCCGCATCAGTCTCTGACGCCGCATCAGTCTCTCTGACGCCGCTGAGGCCGCATCAGTCTCTGACGCCGCATCAGTCTCTCTGACGCCGCATCAGTCTCTCTGACGCCGCATCAGTCTCTGACGCCGCATCAGTCTCTGACGCCGCATCAGTCTCTCTGACGCCGCATCAGTCTCTGACGTCGCATCAGTCTCTGACGCCGCATCAGTCTCTGACGCCGCATCAGTCTCTCTGACGCCGCATCAGTCTCTGACGTCGCATCAGTCTCTCTGACGCCGCATCAGTCTCTGACGCCGCATCAATCTCTGACGCCGCATCAGTCTCTGACGCCGCATCAGTCACTGACGCCGCATCAGTCTCTCTGACGCCGCATCAGTCACTGACGCCGCATCAGTCTCTGACGCCGCATCAATCTCTGACGCCGCATCAGTCTCTGACGCCGCATCAGTCACTGACGCCGCATCAGTCTCTCTGACGCCGCATCAGTCACTGACGCCGCATCAGTCTCTGACGCCGCATCAATCTCTGACGCCGCATCAGTCACTGACGCCGCATCAGTCACTGACGCCGCATCAGTCTCTCTAACGCCGCATCAGTCTGTCTGACGCCGCATCAGTCTCTCTGACGCCGCATCAGTCTCTCTGACGCCGCATCAGTCTCTGACGCCGCTGAGGCCGCATCAGTCTCTGACGCCGCATCAGTCACTGACGCCGCTGAGGCCGCATCAGTCTCTTTGACGCCGCATCAGTCTCTGACGCCGCTGAGGCCGCATCAGTCTCTGACGCCGCTGAGGCCGCATCAGTCTCTGACGCCGCATCAGTCTCTGACGTCACATCAGTCTCTGACGCCGCATCAGTCTCTGACGCCGCATCAGTCTCTCTGACGCTGCATCAGTCTCTGACGCCGCATCAGTCTCTCTGACGTCGCATCAGTCTCTGACGTCGCATCAGTCTCTGACGCCGCATCAGTCACTGACGCCGCATCAGTCTCTGACGTCGCATCAGTCTCTGACGCCGCATCAGTCTCTGACGCCGCATCAGTCTCTCTGACGCTGCATCAGTCTCTGACGCCGCATCAGTCTCTCTGACGCCGCATCAGTCTCTGACGCCGCATCAGTCTCTGACGCCGCATCAGTCACTGACGCCGCATCAGTCTCTGACGCCGCATCAATCTCTGACGCCGCATCAGTCTCTGACGCCGCATCAGTCACTGACGCCGCATCAGTCTCTCTGACGCCGCATCAGTCACTGACGCCGCATCAGTCTCTGACGCCGCATCAATCTCTGACGCCGCATCAGTCTCTCTAACGCCGCATCAGTCTGTCTGACGCCGCATCAGTCTCTCTGACGCCGCATCAGTCTCTCTGACGCAGCATCAGTCTCTGACGCCGCTGAGGCCGCATCAGTCTCTGACGCCGCATCAGTCACTGACGCCGCTGAGGCCGCATCAGTCTCTCTGACGCCGCTGAGGCCGCATCAGTCTCTGACGCCGCATCAGTCTCTGACGCCGCATCAGTCTCTCTGACGCCGCATCAGTCTCTGACGTCGCATCAGTCTCTGACGCCGCATCAGTCTCTGACGCCGCATCAGTCATTGACGCCGCTGAGGCCGCATCAGTCTCTCTGACGCCGCTGAGGCCGCATCAGTCTCTGACGCCGCTGAGGCCGCATCAGTCTCTGACGGCGCATCAGTCTCTCTGACGCCGCATCAGTCTCTCTGACGCCGCATCAGTCTCTGACGCCGCATTTGTCTCTGACGTCGCATCAGTCTCTGACGTCGCATCAGTCTCTGACGCCGCATCAGTCTCTGACGCCGCATCAGTCTCTCTGACGCCGCATCAGTCTCTCTGACGCCGCATCAGTCTCTGACGCCGCATCAGTCTCTGACGCCGCTGAGGCCGCATCAGTCTCTGACGCCGCATCAGTCTCTGACGCCGCATCAGTCTCTCTGACGCCGCTGAGGCCGCATCAGTCTATGACGCCGCATCAGTCTCTGACGCCGCATCAGTCTCTGACGCCGCATCAGTCTCTGACGCCGCATCAGTCTCTGACGCCGCATCAGTCTCTGACGCCGCATCAGTCTCTTTGACGCCGCATCAGTCTCTGACGCCGCTGAGGCCGCATCAGTCTCTGACGCCGCTGAGGCCGCATCAGTCTCTGACGCCGCATCAGTCTCTGACGTCACATCAGTCTCTGACGCCGCATCAGTCTCTGACGTCGCATCAGTCTCTGACGCCGCATCAGTCTCTGACGCCGCGTCTCTGAAGCCGCGTCTCTGACGTCGCATCAGTCTCTGACGCTGCATCAGTCTCTGACGCCGCATCAGTCTCTGACGCCGCATCAGTCTCTGACGCCGCATCAGTCTCTGACGCCGCATCAGTCTCTGACGCCGCATCAGTCTCTCTGACGCCGCATCAGTCTCTGACGCCGCATCAGTCTCTGACGCCGCATCAGTCTCTCTGACGCCGCATCAGTCTCTCTGACGCCGCATCAGTCTCTCTGACGCCGCATCAGTCTCTGACGCCGCATCAGTCTCTGACGCCGCATCAGTCTCTCTGACGCCGCATCAGTCTCTGACGCCGCATCAGTCTCTGACGCCGCATCAGTCTCTCTGACGCCGCATCAGTCTCTGACGCCGCATCAGTCTCTGACGCCGCATCAGTCTCTGACGCCGCATCAGTCTCTCTGACGTCGCATCAGTCTCTGACGTCGCATCAGTCTCTGACGTCGCATCAGTCTCTGACGCCGCATCAGTCTCTGACGCCGCATCAGTCACTGACGCCGCATCAGTCTCTGACGTCGCATCAGTCTCTGACGCCGCATCAGTCTCTGACGCCGCATCAGTCTCTCTGACGCCGCATCAGTCTCTGACGCCGCATCAGTCTCTCTGACGTTGCATCAGTCTCTGACGCCGCATCAGTCTCTCTGACGCCGCATCTGTCTCTGACGCCGCATCAGTCACTGACGCCGCATCAGTCACTGACGCCGCATCAGTCACTGACGCCGCATCAGTCACTGACGCCGCATCAGTCTCTGACGCCGCATCAGTCTCTGACGCCGCATCAGTCTCTCTGACGCCGCATCAGTCTCTGACGCCGCATCAGTCTCTGACGCCGCATCAGTCTCTGACGCCGCATCAGTCTCTGACGCCGCATCAGTCTCTGACGCCGCATCAGTCACTGACGCCGCATCAGTCTCTGACGCCGCATCAGTCTCTCTGACGCCGCATCAGTCTCTGACGCCGCATCAGTCTCTGACGCCGCATCAGTCTCTGACGCCGCATCAGTCTCTAAAGCCGCATCAGTCACTGACGCCGCATCAGTCACTGACGCCGCATCAGTCTCTGACGCCGCATCAGTCTCTGACGCCGCATCAGTCTCTCTGACGCCGCATCAGTCTCTCTGACGCCGCATCAGTCTCTGACGCCGCATCAGTCTCTGACGCCGCATCAGTCTCTGACGCCGCATCAGTCTCTGACGCCGCATCAGTCTCTGACGCCGCATCAGTCTCTCTGACGTTGCATCAGTCTCTGACGCCGCATCAGTCTCTCTGACGCCTTATCAATCTCTGACGCCGCATCAGTCTCTGACGCCGCATCAGTCTCTCTGACGTTGTATCAGTCACTGACGCCCCATCAGTCTCTGACGCCGCATCAGTCTCTGACGCCGCATCAGTCTCTGACGCCGCATCAGTCTCTGACGCCGCATCAGTCTCTGACGCCGCATCAGTCACTGACGCCGCATCAGTCTCTGACGCCGCATCAGTCTCTGACGCCGCATCAGTCTCTCTGACGTCGCATCAGTCTCTGACGCCGCATCAGTCTCTGACGCCGCATCAGTCTCTCTGACGTCGCATCAGTCTCTGACGCCGCATCAGTCTCTGACGCCGCATCAGTCTCTGACGCCGCATCAGTCTCTCTGACGTTGCATCAGTCTCTGACGCCGCATCAGTCTCTCTGACGCCTTATCAGTCTCTGACGCCTTATCAGTCTCTGACGCCGCATCAGTCTCTGACGCCGCATCAGTCTCTCTGACGTTGTATCAGTCACTGACGCCCCATCAGTCTCTGACGCCGCATCAGTCTCTGACGCCGCATCAGTCTCTGACGCCGCATCAGTCTCTGACGCCGCATCAGTCTCTCTGACGCCGCATCAGTCTCTGACGCCGCATCAGTCTCTGACGCCGCATCAGTCTCTGACGCCGCATCAGTCTTTCTGACGCCGCATCAGTCTTTCTGACGCCGCATCAGTCTCTGACGCCGCATCAGTCTTTCTGACGCCGCATCAGTCTCTGACACCGCATCAGTCTCTGACGCCGCATCAGTCTCTGACGCCGCATCAGTCTCTGACGCCGCATCAGTCTCTGACGTCGCATCAGTCTCTGACGCCGCATCAGTCTCTGACGCCGCATCAGTCTCTCTGACGCCGCATCAGTCTCTGACGCCGCATCAGTCTCTGACGCCGCATCAGTCTCTGACGCCGCATCAGTCTCTCTGACGTTGCATCAGTCTCTGACGCCGCATCAGTCTCTCTGACGCCGCATCTGTCTCTGACGCCGCATCAGTCTCTGACGCCGCATCAGTCACTGACGCCGCATCAGTCACTGACGCCGCATCAGTCACTGACGCCGCATCAGTCTCTGACGCCGCATCAGTCTCTGACGCCGCATCAGTCTCTCTGACGCCGCATCAGTCTCTGACGCCGCATCAGTCTCTGACGCCGCATCAGTCTCTGACGCCGCATCAGTCACTGACGCCGCATCAGTCTCTGACGCTGCATCAGTCTCTGACGCCGCATCAGTCTCTCTGACGCCGCATCAGTCTCTGACGCCGCATCAGTCTCTGACGCCGCATCAGTCTCTGACGCCGCATCAGTCACTGACGCCGCATCAGTCTCTGACGCCGCTGACGCCGCATCAGTCTCTGACGCCGCTGACGCCGCATCAGTCTCTGACGCCGCATCAGTCTCTGACGCCGCATCAGTCTCTGACGCCGCATCAGTCTCTCTGACGTCGCATCAGTCTCTGACGCCGCATCAGTCTCTGACGCCGCATCAGTCTCTGACGTCGCATCAGTCTCTCTGACGTCGCATCAGTCTCTGACGCCGCATCAGTCTCTGACGCCGCATCAGTCTCTCTGACGTCGCATCAGTCTCTGACGCCGCATCAGTCTCTGACGCCGCATCAGTCTCTCTGACGTTGCATCAGTCTCTGACGCCGCATCAGTCTCTCTGACGCCTTATCAGTCTCTGACGCCGCATCAGTCTCTGACGCCGCATCAGTCTCTGACGCCGCATCAGTCTCTCTGACGTTGTATCAGTCACTGACGCCCCATCAGTCTCTGACGCCGCATCAGTCTCTGACGCCGCATCAGTCTCTGACGCCGCATCAGTCTCTGACGCCGCATCAGTCTCTGACGCCGCATCAGTCTCTCTGACGCCGCATCAGTCTCTGACGCCGCATCAGTCTCTGACGCCGCATCAGTCTCTCTGACGCCGCATCAGTCTCTGACGCCGCATCAGTCTCTGACGCCGCATCAGTCTCTGACGCAGCATCAGTCTCTGACGCCGCATCAGTCTCTCTGACGCCGCATCAGTCTCTGACGCCGCATCAGTCTCTGACGCCGCATCAGTCACTGACGCCGCATCAGTCTCTCTGACGTCGCATCAGTCACTGACGCCGCATCAGTCTCTGACGCCGCATCAGTCTTTCTGACGTCGCATCAGTCTCTGACGCCGCATCAGTCTCTGACGCCGCATCAGTCTCTGACGCCGCATCAGTCTCTGACGCCGCATCAGTCTCTGACGCCGCATCAGTCTCTCTGACGCCGCATCAGTCTCTCTGACGCCGCATCAGTCTCTGACGCCGCATCAGTCTCTCTGACGTTGCATCAGTCTCTGACGCCGCATCAGTCTCTGACGCCGCATCAGTCACTGACGCCGCATCAGTCTCTGACGCCGCATCAGTCTCTGACGCCGCATCAGTCTCTGACGCCGCATCAGTCTCTGACGCCGCATCAGTCTCTGACGCCGCATCAGTCTCTGACGCTGCATCAGTCTCTGACGCTGCATCAGTCTCTCTGACGCCGCATCAGTCTCTGACGCCGCATCAGTCTCTCTGACGCTGCATCAGTCTCTGACGCCGCATCAGTCACTGACGCCGCATCAGTGTCTCTGACGCCGCATCAGTCTCTGACGCCGCATCAGTCTCTGACGTTGCATCAGTCTCTGACGCCGCATCAGTCTCTGACTCCGCATCAGTCTCTGACGCTGCATCAGTCTCTGACGCTGCATCAGTCTCTCTGACGCCGCATCAGTCTCTGACGCCGCATCAGTCTCTCTGACGCTGCATCAGTCTCTGACGCCGCATCAGTCACTGACGCCGCATCAGTGTCTCTGACGCCGCATCAGTCTCTGACGCCGCATCAGTCTCTGACGTTGCATCAGTCTCTGACGCCGCATCAGTCTCTGACGCCGCATCAGTCTTTCTGACGCCGCATCAGTCTCTGACGCCGCATCAGTCTCTGACGCTGCATCAGTCTCCCTGACGTCGCATCAGTCTCTGACGCCGCATCAGTCTCTGACGTCGCATCAGTCTCTCTGACGTCGCATCAGTCTCTGACGCCGCATCAGTCTCTCTGACGTCGCATCAGTCTCTGACACCGCATCAGTCTCTGACACCGCATCAGTCTCTCTGACGCCGCATCAGTCTCTGACGCCGCATCAGTCTCTGACGCCGCATCAGTCTCTGACGCCGCATCAGTCTCTGACGCCGCATCAGTCTCTCTGACGTCGCATCAGTCTCTGACGCCGCATCAGTCTCTCTGACGTCGCATCAGTCTCTGACGCCGCATCAGTCTCTGACGCCGCATCAGTCTCTGACGTCGCATCAGTCTCTGACGCCGCATCAGTCTCTGACGCCGCATCAGTCTCTGACGCCGCATCAGTCTCTGACGCCGCATCAGTCTCTCTGACGCTGCATCAGTCTCTGACGCCGCATCAGTCACTGACGCCGCATCAGTGTCTCTGACGCCGCATCAGTCTCTGACGCCGCATCAGTCTCTGACGTTGCATCAGTCTCTGACGCCGCATCAGTCTCTGATGCCGCATCAGTCTTTCTGACGCCGCATCAGTCTCTGACGCCGCATCAGTCTCTGACGCTGCATCAGTCTCCCTGACGTCGCATCAGTCTCTGACGCCGCATCAGTCTCTGACGTCGCATCAGTCTCTCTGACGTCGCATCAGTCTCTGACGCCGCATCAGTCTCTCTGACGTCGCATCAGTCTCTGACACCGCATCAGTCTCTCTGACGCCGCATCAGTCTCTGACGCCGCATCAGTCTCTGACGCCGCATCAGTCTCTGACGCCGCATCAGTCTCTGACGCCGCATCAGTCTCTCTGACGTCGCATCAGTCTCTGACGCCGCATCAGTCTCTCTGACGTCGCATCAGTCTCTGACGCCGCATCAGTCTCTGACGTCGCATCAGTCTCTGACGTTGCATCAGTCTCTGACGTTGCATCAGTCTCTGACGTCGCATCAGTCTTTCTGACGCCGCATCAGTCTTTCTGATGTCGCATCAGTATCTGACGTCGCATCAGTCTTTCTGACGTCGCATCAGTCTTTCTGACGTCGCATCAGTCTTTCTGACGTCGCATCAGTCTCTGACACATGTTTATCAAAATGGTCCGGTTTCTCATTGGCCACAGGAGAAACACATGTCACACCTTTTACACTGATTACATCCAAATAGGAAACTCAAGGAAGGGAGAGGAACAAGGAGGTTTAAAGGACACATGGGATCAATCTAAAAACTACACAAACTGCATCTTTCTCAAATATCGTCCCAAATACCTTTCTGCCGTAAAACAAAACCCTCTAAACCAATTGTTAATCATCACAAATCACCCACTATACTTAACCATGTTCATGTATTTTTTGCCATTACACCACTTAACAAAACAAACTCATTTATGGGTCGAGATGATGAAATGTTGTAAGTGTAGGAGGTAGTGTGGGGGAGGGGGGGCAGGGTAAAGGATATGAAAAGGTCATATCCTGTCAAATGAACAAATGAACAACATGATCACGATCACCATTTTTACTGATCCTGTATTAATTCCTATTGCTCCCGTCACCGCGACACAAATTTCAGGATATTTGTATATTTCAAACGGTTGGATGAGCATTTGGCAAAAATATCTATAGATTGGCCCAAAATGGGTGTTAGAATGTGGTGTGAGGAGCCATGACATGATCTGTTAAAACATTTGGTATCTAGCTATTACAGGTAGATCTTATTTCAATAGAGCTACACTTAACACAAGTTCCATCCAGCAAACCTAATTTACCTTTTGGTAAATGTTGATATTACTTATAAACAAAACTAAGTATTGCATTCCTATAATCAATCAAATTAACACTTTTTCTCACGATAACACAATCCCTTATTTCTTTTTTGTTTTTAACACACAAAAACATTCTAATGATAGAATAGACATACGAGAGAGACATTCATAATTATTATATAAATTAAAGGGTCATCTTCATTACTAAATTCACTTTGGGCTACAGCTAGAGGAACATTCTGTTTAGAAACCAGTGTGGGATATGACTAAGCAGCTGCAGGCCTCGGTTGCTGGGTCAGGAATTTTAATAATGGTGGGGCATGGCCATTGTGTGTTGCCAGGTATAAATGAAGCATGTTCTCACAGAAATGTTATCAGTTTGAATCCATTCTCTGTTCTCTGAGAGACCTGTGAAACCACCATCAACATGGGAAAGGTGGGATTAGTGACATTGGTAATAGGTAAAAATCTCAATTTAAATCAAAAATATTTTCCTTTCAGATCATCTTCTACGAGGAGCGTAACTTCCAGGGCCGCTCATATGAGTGCATGAGTGACTGTGCCGACATGTCCTCCTACCTGAGCAGGTGTCACTCCTGCAGGGTGGAGAGCGGCTGCTTCATGGTCTATGACCGTCCCAACTACATGGGAAACCAGTATTTCATGAGGAGAGGAGAGTATGCTGACTACATGAGCATGATGGGAATGAGTGGTGGAATCAGGTCCTGTCGTATGATCCCAATGGTATGTATTAAAAATAAGTTGCTATTCTAAAATGAAAAAAAAAAGATCAAAATAACAATTACTTCATGTCACACAAAACAGCACAGAGGCCAGTTCAGGATGAAGATCTACGAGAGAGAGAACTTTGGTGGTCAGATGCACGAGCTGATGGATGACTGTGACAACATCATGGACCGTTATCGTATGAACGACTGTCAGTCCTGCCACGTCATGGACGGCCACTGGCTGATGTACGAGCAGCCTCAGTACAGAGGAAGGATGATGTACTTCAGACCTGGAGAGTACAGGAGCTTCAGTCAGATGGGGATGAGCGGAACAAGGTTCATGAGCATGAGACGCATCATGGACATGTGCTAAAAATATGAGCAGAATAAATTATACTAATAACATTTTTGTGCCAACACTGTTTTTGTTATATTTCTACATTGAAAATACATATTGTTGGATGTAGGTATCACACATTGATAGCATTCAACAGGAGACAATGTTAAAAAGCAGATGGTTAGTTCCAAAATCATAGTTCAAACATATTACTCCTTGATCATGTTTCATGTTCCCTCCCTTAGCTACCATGACTGTTTGCAAAAAAACAAAAACAATCTTTATGTGCTAACAAATGCAAAGACAATTTGCCCATTTTTTTCATTGTAGACTAAAAATATAAATCAAATGTAACTTTTCCATGTGAGAAACATTTCAGTATCTAACTGGGGAATATCATTTATCAAAGTAATGTATCAAATCTGTGGGATGGTGCCCGCGGGAAAAAGCCTAATTATACTGAAATAATGACTGTAAATACCGGACTATAAGAAGATATACTTTATTGATAAGCCGTACCTTTTCCCCCACTTTGACCGCTGCGCCTTAAAGTATTTTTTTTTAACCTTTGGGGCCACAAACATTTTGCCAGTAGTAACAGTCGACCAACAGAATTGATGAGTAGTTCACAGAGGTCAAATTAAATGACATGTCAATCATTCATCTATGGAAGATTTAGAACAGTCAGTGACTCAAGTTATGAACTACATTTTTCAATTTTACACTGGGAAAGGTGCGGCCTATTGTCCGGAAAATATGATACACTATGATAAGTGTATTTCAGAAGGGGACATGGCACTCTGTATGCATGGTTATATCTCGGGAAATTATTTAGCTTGGTTTTTAGAATGAAGATGCAAAAAAAATACCAATAATGTGTAGTATAATAATGCAAATGCAAAATGTTATTGGCAGCGATCAGGTTGCCTAAGCATACAGTAGCATTCAGGGTTCTGCTTCACAGCATGGTTAAGATACTTTGCAATTCGCAGCTTATACATTACTTTTTACAAATATAATGTTACAGCATCAAATACTTTAGTTGTGATATAATTTAAATAAAAAATATATGTATAATTTTTATATATATATATTTTACATAATATTAAATAACAGACAACTCCACAAACTGCTGCTGGTTTCTGAGGTGTTCAGCGATTGTATCAGCATGTGGGCTTTTCCACAATCACAATTTACCATTTCAGAGCTGTGCTGTATATTTGAACCATAAATAAATGTATCTTGATTGAAACTCATTATTGATCTAGTTACAGAAAAAACTGCTTATTTTTCCTTTAAAGTGATAGTCTGGAGCTTTAAGAATTGTATTAAATTGACCTCCTGGCCTTATCGTTGATATAAAATAAATCATATTATGAACTCTATTATTACGGGTAAGTCCCGCCTTCCCTTCTCTTAGCTCAAAATCCACGATGCCTTCCACATTAACCAATCGAGTCATGCCAAGGGCTGTCAATCATCGCCGCTGATGCTTGTAGCTGCTCATGCTCAGTTGTTTGTTTTCACGGAGCCTCCAAATCAAGCCTCCATTATATACTGAACCTATATATATATATAAGAATCTTGGCGTTCTAATGGACAGCTCCTTTAAGCTGGACAAACAGATCACTTCTGTTGTGAAAACCAGCTATTTCCAACTGCGGGTCCTTAGTAAGGTGAAGCCTTATCTTCCCTTTGATAAGTTTGAACGAGTTGTGCACATGTTTATATCGTCCCGTCTCGATTATTGTAATTCTTTGTACTGTGGTCTAGACCAGTCATCTCTTCACCGTTTGCAGCTCGTGCAAAACTCGGCTGCGCGTTTGCTGACAGGGACCAGGCGTAGAGAACACATCACACCTGTTCTGTCGTCTCTGCACTGGCTCCCTGTCCGCTATCGTATCCTCTTTAAAATGCTGCTTCTGGTTTTTAAATGTCTTCATGGTCTGGCCCCAGCCTACCTGTCCGAGTTGCTGTCCCCTTACACTCCCTCCAGACATATGAGGTCCAGTGGTCAGCTTCTGCTTAGCGTACCCAAATCACGGCTGAAAACGAGAAGTGACCGGGCCTTCTTTTACCGTGCAGCGCTTTGGGCAGCGATTGTTGTTGTAAATGTGCTATTGATATATATCGATAATCATTTATATATGAACCTATATCCATAATCATTTATATATGAATCTATATCCATAATCATTTATATATGAACCTATATCCATAATCATTTATATATGAACCTATATCCATAATCATTTATATATGAACCTATATCCATAATCATTTATATACTGAATCTATATCCATAATCATTTATATATGAACCTATATCCATAATCATTTATATACTGAACCTATATCCATAATCATTTATATACTGAATCTATATCCATAATCATTTATATATGAACCTATATCCATAATCATTTATATTCTGAACCTATATCCATAATCATTTATATATGAACCTATATCCATAATCATTTATATATGAACCTATATCCATAATCATTTATATATGAACCTATATCCATAATCATTTATATACTGAATCTATATCCATAAT